TATGATAACTTGGCGTCGTAGCCAAACGTGAGGATGACGAGTGCGCCGCCATCTCCTTCTGTCCTCTCTTTCCATAGAGGGCCGCACTCACTGATGAGCACGTAGCTATCCTCGTTTCTAGGTAGATTCCTTATTGCTGAGCATGTTTCTATCCGCATTTCTGGGCAGATTCCTCATTTTTGAGCATGTTTCTATCCACGTTCAGGGCAGATTCACTCAGCAATTCTCTTTTTCCTCTCTCATCCTTGCTTTTCCTTTTTTTTCTTTTTCTTCTCTTTTTTTGTTAGCCGAAACGAGAGGCATCTTCACCACGTGAACAGGAAGGTACATGAGGCCGAATGGGGATTGAACCCAAGCCCTCCTGAATGCCACTTGCGTGTCTTACCAACTGAGGCAAGGCCGTTGGATCTAGTGCATCTTCCATATTCCAGCAAGAGATTCATTCTCATATTGCTCATTTGGTGAGTAGTTTGGTAGATAAGGAATCTCCATTCGACCGTGCACTGTGTATGAAGATCAACGGCCAGGAATGACTAATTTGGCCAAGCGGGACCTGACCGCGGGCCGGAGAAGGGAGTGTGGAGAGGGGTCGGTACCAGCGGGCAGGTACTGGTGGCGATCTGTCTGGATCTATTTCTACACGAACGGGCCCATCTCATCTCAGGTGGACGACAGGCGCTGGTCTGTCTTGGGACGTACGTAGGCCCATTTGCCGTCATGCATGGAAGAAACTGCTGCGGTACGTAGGCCCGTTTGCCCTGCCATTCGTGGTCCAACCGCACCAGTCCAGTCCTGTCCATGCAGAGGCCGGGGGCTAGGTCCCACTTGCACGAACTAAGAGATATGACCGTAGATCGCAGAGATCAACGGCCGAAAACTCCTAATTTTCGCAAGTGGGACCTTGCCCCGGTTTGTCTCGGGTGCAATGTTCGGGCGCCTGTGTTCTTGTTATTGTTCCCTTTTTTGGGCGGGTCTTCGTCCCGGTTTGCCCCACCGACCGAGCTTGTCCCAGAGCGCAGCTGACGGTTGGATGGTCCCGTGGGTCAGGATCTAAAGGCCAGCGGCGGTGTTGTCTGGACAGGCCACGTGGACCAGGGATGGTGACAGGACAGGCATGGCCCTGCCTCGGGTCTTCATAGCTGTAGATTGGACCCGCCGACAGTGGCAGCCATGTCAGGCAGGCAGAGCGAACAGCTTCGACCAGAAGCACGCTTCAGAAACCGGCCTGAGGCCCTGGTTGCACTACTCGCCATCCGCCAAGATTTCGAATGCATCTGGACAAAGTGATGTCCACATGCAATCATAATGTTTGGCGGATGGCCAGTAGTGCGACTAGGCCCTGATGCTGGTCCAGAGCTGCTCTACACGGTGATCAAGGGTCTGGTCCATAGTGGTCCAGAGATTGATCCAGAGAGATCGGTCCATAGCGGTTGGCCCATGGGCCTCGTCGCACTTCTCGCCATCCGCCAACATTTTGATTGCACGAGGACTTCCATGTTGTCCAGATGCATTCGAAATCTTGGCGGATGGTGAGTAGTGCAACCAGGGCTCACGGAGAGATTGGTCCAGAGAAATTGGTCCAGAGGTCCAGAGAGAGAGATTGGTCCAGAGGTTGGCTGGTTGGCGCGAGTGGCCCGCGGCCCGAAGCGGGTAGTAGAGGCGCGGTACGGAGTCTGAGGTGGTCGTCGGCGGGTTTCCCGGTGGACGGGGGAGGTAATACTCACTGCAGGTGCCGGCTGACGTGGCGGTGAAGTTTAGATGCGCGGGCTGACGCTGGCGCGCGTCGTCCACTTGTTTCGAGACCAACGCGCGGGAAAGTAACGATGACAAAAGGCTGTCGCATCGTCATCATCGATTTCAAAAATTCAATTTGGCGGGCAATCCTGGAGCAGCGCCCCGCCATCTCCCTCCATAGCCTCTCGGTCTGCTTCCTCTCGTTGCGTTGGGTGGCTTCTTTCGGCGGGATTTCAAAAATTTGGCGGGCAATCCTGGAGCAGCGCTCCGGCATCTCCCGCCATAGCCTCTCGGTCTGCTTCCTCTCGTTGGGTTGGGGGGCTTATTTGGGCGGGATTCGGGATTCTGCCTCCCGTATCATACAAGCGTGATTCGCGCTCTAGGCGATGATGACTCGGCGGGAACTCGGAGCTTGACCCCCTTGCCCTCCTTCGGTGGGCCAAAGCTTTTCCCGTCAGCTCCCGCAATATCTCCCGATCTCTATTCTCTTTCTGCTGATTGTGCGTCCATATCTCAGACCATGATCCTCCCTGAGGTGGGTGGTTTCGTCAGTTTTCGCCTTATCTTCTAACCCTCTCTCGCCCCTCTCTCTCTCTCTCTCTCTCTCTCTCTCTCTCTCTCTCTTCCTGGTGGTTCCTTGAAGATAGCTTTGAGGGTTGAGCTCCCGTTGGATGGCAGCGCCAGAACCTACAAGCTTAAGCTTTTTCTGACATGACTTGCGCCGCGGTGTATAGCCTAGACAGAGCATAATTCCTGTCCTCTCTCTCGTACATGGGGTCGATTCTCCCCATTGCTTGGGAGGTGGTCGATCTACCCTCATCAATCACCCGGGGCTAGGTCCCACTTACACGAATTAAGTGATATTGACCGTAGATAGCGAAGATCAACGGCCAGATTCTCCTGATCCGTGCAAGTGGGACCTTGCCCCCGGTTCGTCTGTCGGGTCACGCTTCTATCATGATGGCCTGTGGGTCGGTCCGTCCTCAGGAGATCTGCCATATCTTAACAGCCTGATAGGCTTCCGAATCCATCCACGTGGACAAGTTCCATCTCAGGGGAGAATCGAGCTGTCGGCGGCGCAAGGCAACAGCTGCCACGTCAGAAAGTGAGACTGGAGCCTCCCCTCCTGCGCCTCTTGCCCGTGCGCTATCTACCGTCGGCGCGTTGCTGTCCTCCTCCTCGTCCTCCTTTTGAATCCGAAAGAGGATCAGAAGAAAGAGGAGGAGTGGGAGGAGGAGAAGAAGAGGAGGAGGGGGAGGAAGGAGGAGGAGGAGAGCCTCTCTTCCGCGAAGCAGCAGCAGCAGGAGGAAAATTTGGAGGAGGAAAGGAGGAAGAGCAGGGGGGAGGAGGAGAGCCTCCCCTCCGCCTTCCCCGCGCAGCCGGCCTCCCCCTCCTTTGGATCTGAAGGGGGAGGGGGGGGGAAGGAGGAGGAGGAGGATTGAGAAGAAGCGTCGCACACTGGGTAGCAGGCGCGCAGCTGTTCTGCTTCGCCATTTTGAATCGCTACGAACTCTACTAGTGATAATACCACCAGCAGCAGGAGCAGCACTAGGAGGCGGCGGCGGCGGCGGAAGAAGAAAAGGAAGAGGAAGAGCCTTCATCCCTGGGACGTGGAGAGAGAGAGAGACACACACACACACACACACACACACACACACACACACACACACACACACACACAGACA